TCTTCTTTAGTCTTTCTTATTCATTGTCCAATCTTCACATCCAAAGGAAGCGATTGATAATACCATAGCTTGGGTCCAGTGCAGATTAGTTTTTGCATTGGCATCCCTGTTCTTCATACTTTAAAGCCATCCTTGGCAGAAGATTTGCAAATACAATATATCACCTGATTTTTTTTGACTGATGGTTCCATAGGTGTTGATTGTGGAGTATAGAATCTTAAAATATGATAAATGTTATATAAAAAATTGAGTAAGATAAGAGAGTTCACAGTTAGGGCATGCTGCAGTTTCAAACAGGAATAGTCAGAGTTGACATTTTTTGAGCCATAATTTCAAAGAGATGAAAGAATTGTCTTTGTCAATATCCATGTTAAGAATATTCTTGTAAGTAGGAACAGCCAGTGGAAAAAACTCTAAGCTGGGACTATTCCTAGGGTGTTTGAAAAAGCATAACTGGTTGGAATGAAATGAACAAGGAGGAAATTGTGGTGATCGTATGGTAGCTGTAGTGAAGAGTGTTGTTGGAAGCCCTTGCTGGGTTTTCAACAAGAGTTTCTTGATCTGACTTAACATTATAACAGCACCATTTTGCCTCCTCTGTTGAGAATACCATTCAGAATTGGAAGGATAGAAACCTGGTAGGAGTCTATGGCAGTAATTCAGGTGGGGGGTATTAAAGATTTGGGTCATGGCTGTGATAGTGGAGAAGGTAAGAGGTGGTGCTATTCTGAATATATTTTCAAGGTGAATCTAATAGGATTTTCCCAGACATTAGATATGAAGTGTGGAAAAAGGAGAAGAACCAATCAGTAGGAAGAAAGTGAGGCTTTGGATGCTGCTCTTTAGTTCAATTAGATGAAGACTAAAAATCAACTGTTAGTTTTAGAGAGAGGGATTCTATGATCTTAGAGGACGTTTTGGTGGAACAACAGGAATCTGGTAAGTGTAGGTTCAGTTAAGAAAGAATGAGAAAGGGAAAAAAAAAGAATAGAAAGAGGACTTGGCCACAGTACTTTTACAGCATTTCTTTTGATATCTTTTGCCAAAAAGAGGCACAGCCGATAAAGCAACAGGAAATGAGGAATTACAGTTAATAAAGAGACATTGTTGTGATTTTTGTTCATTATTTTAAATGAGAAAGTTCATGGTATGGCTCTATCTTTATTGGAATGATCCATAAGAGAGAAAAAAAATTAGAAAGAAAGTAGCAAAATGTTATTTTTCTTTTTATTATGTTCTCTTGAGTCAGAACTGACTCAGCTGATCCTCCAGTGAGTTTTCAGAGACAAATTTCATGAGAGAGAATTGCTAATCTCTTTCCTGTAGAGCAGCTGGTTGATTTGAACTGTGAGCCTTTAGGTTAACAACACAATTTCTCACCACTAAACCACCAGTGCTCCGTAAATACCATTTTTTCTGTTATTGTGTGTTGTCATAACAGAACCTACCCCTGACTGATCCTCCCGCAAGTTTCAGAAACAGTAAACCACACAGAAAGAAAGTGTCCATTCTTCACTTATGGAACAGCTGGTGGATTTGAACCACGTGCCTTTGGGATTGCAGTAGAACTTCTTACCATTAGCTTTGTTACCACCAGAGCGCTCTAGATGCAAAAGGATGGGATCTAACAAAAAAGTGAATGAATTGATTTTAGGGGTAGAAAAGGCTGCTTTGCTTATATTAACATATTGTAAGACAGAAGATTTTGATACTGTGCGTGGGGTAGTTATTTTTGTGGAGTAATTATTTTCTTACAAAGAAAGATGTGAGCTAAAAGTGAAGATGAGGGAGGAGATGCTGGAAGTTTAAGGAAGGATGAGGTGTAAAATTGCTGTTGAGGGTAATAGAAGGGGCAGTGCTGAGGGCCGAGCTGGAATGCAAAATAAGACCAGTCAGAATTTTGTGAGTTTTCTTCAGCCTTATTCAGCAATGTTAAGTGGGCAGAGTCATGAAGTGTGCAAAAAAATACAGCAAAATAAACTGAGGGCAAGGAAAAATTTAGAATAGCTCACAATGAAAGTTGGGGTGACAGAACCCTTGAAAATTGGCTTTCCTAGATATTGTGTTAGCCCCAGGTTTTTTGGGGGGCTTGGGGGATAGTGGCATTCCACCTTCCTTAACTGGGCAGATAATCTTTCTAGTCATCAGCAGCTGTGGGACAAATATAAGACAGTACTCGCCACACTGTGAGAGATGGTGGTGGAGAGTGTGTGAAGACACTGTGAGAGAGTGTGCCAGATGGCAAAGAGTTTGTGGCATTGCTGTGAAGAGACAGTGCCAAGATGTATCCAGAGAAACCTCGAAGATGGATCCACAGTTAAAGGTTTTGCTTGCTGTATTATTAAGTGAAAAGCTGACTTGTGACTCTTCTGAGACAAAGTTTGCTTGACATTCGAGGAAACCAGAGGTTTCTTACATGCTGCTGAAATGACCCTGGATTTTCACTAATTTAGGAATAATTTGGTGCTGTTAACCAGGCTTGGGACTGCTGGACTAAACCTGGACTTGCACTGTGTGATATGTTTTGCTTCTCCCACTCCCCTACCTATTTCCTTGATAAACTCCACAACTTTAAACTCTAATAAACCCCATAGACTTTACTCTGAGTAAAGTTTATGAGTCAATTTGCAACAGATACTGAACCCAGTGAGTGGGAGAAATAGGTGCAAGAACATATGCTATTTGTATGACACTATGAATATTATTGATGGGAGAAATTCCTCTTTATGAATTGGGTAGAAGTCAGACTCAGCTACCCCTGCATTGTATCTACTCCTTTGTCACAAGTTAAAATGGACTAGGATGAAAGAAAAGATGTGGAGGAGACAAGGGACACTAAAAATCTAGAAGAATGGATTATTTGGAGTTCCCACTGGGTTCCAAAGATTGTTGAAATTGGGGTAATAAAGGGAGTAAAAAGATTGGAGGTGATGTTCAGAGATGGGGATCCAAGATTATGGAGAAACATAATTAGTAGTAATGACAAAAGTCTGGGAAATAATGTAATAATTAGTGAGTGAAACAAGGCAGAGGGCATACTTACTGAAGAAGAAGAAAATAAGAAACTAGAGGTCAGGACCTTGGATTCATCTGAGTGTCTATTGAAGTCAGCAGAAATTAGGTAGGGATTTATTGGAGAGACTGACAGTGAACAATAAGTTTATAAATATTCGAGGGGGAATTACAAGGTAGTAGATGACTAATATTAATGGCCTGAGGTTCAAAACAAGACTATTTCATAGTCAAAAGAGAGATGGGAAGAAGGACTTGGAAGGACTAGTGAGGATTAAGGTTAAAAGGGATATAAGAGGGAGGAGAGCAACCACTTGAGAAAGTTGCAGGAGAAATTCTGTTCTCAGAGAAGAGTCAGGTTGTAAATTAAAGCAAGGTGATAACTGAATGTTGAGGAGGGTATTGTACATGTCGAGGATTCACTGATTGTGCATGAGGATGTCACCATTACTGAAAGGGTTGTTTCACAGTTCAGAGTTAAAAGGTGAGAAAATTTGGATGGCCAGAGCCTTATGGAAATTATAGTCAGAGAAGTGAGGGATACCTCAGTGTGTAGGATATATGTCTTTGTGCATGTACATGTGTTTTCATGGATGTGTGTTTGTACATGTGTGAGTTTGTATATGCATGTGGGTGTGTGCATGTGTTGGGTTAGGTAAACACGAGCATAGGGCGCAGTGAGATGAGGTCTGGTGACCTCATGTGGGTGATAGGGGCAAGGCTCTGAGTGTGTATTTAGAAAGGAGTGGGTTTCTGGTCTTATCCTTGTCTTTGTGAGTGAAGAGATCTAAGAAAAAATGGAGACTCCGGGGAGAAAAGTGCAACAATGAATGAATGGAATTCCCAAATCTCTGTAAATGTTTATGGAAATTAAAAAAATAAAAATAAAAAATAAACAGCTTAAAAAAAATGGAGACTCGATCTTGTGTGCAAGGTTCTCCTTTGACTTGAGATGTCAGGATGTCTGCAGAAGCTGAGTGGGTAGAGGTGAAGAAGCATGGTATCAGACAGCTCCAGAATGGGGGAGAAGAAAAAAGAGGGGCGTACTCTGTGTTAATGTTTTTCTCTTGACTCCAGTCCAGTTAGTAGAGGAGAACCTAAATTGTTTTATGTACTTACTATAGGCTGTATTTTATGCTAAGTACTGTAAATAAATATCGCAATTCCTCTAATAGGATCTAGAGGAGAGAACGTGTTCTTACCTCATTATGTTGGACTGCAGAGAAGTGCAGTCCCTTGTTCAAGATCACACAGCTGCTCAGTAACAAAGAAAAGTTTTAAACTCAGGTCTCTTTCTTTGATTTACATATCATTTATAGGGAGCTCTACTGGTCTAGTGTTAAGGAGTTGTGCTGCCAATGCAAAGGCAGGTGGTTCAAATCCACAAGATAGGCAATATCCCAATACGATTTACTCTGAAAGCCCACTCACTGGAGGGTCGATGGCACATAACAGCAACACCACAGTTAATACATTAGTGATTTATGATCCTTGACTAATTTTCAGACTGATGTCAAGGTTTTTAAAGTATCTCCAGATGTACTTGGATTTTTTGTTTGTTTGTTTTCAAGTGAAATTGCTTTGGCTTAGACTGTAAATCCTGGTGGGTTAGAATTTCTCCTCACTCTTCATAGTTCCATGGTCATCATGACCACAGGCCATGTGGTACACCTTCCCCCATACACACATATGAATGCACATAATCCAGACCTTATAGCCGTAATACTTTTGACAGTAAAAAATATATATATATTAAGCTATTTTTTACTATCAGTTTACCTGTGGCTTTAAAAAAATTCTCATAGCAGCATATTATTTCTACAGTGCTTCATGAGTAAACATCTGAAATGAAGATCAGAGTATGGTTGTAAGATTGTGAATCAAAGGCACAGAGCCAGAGTGAAAGACTTTTGGAACTTTGATGTAGTAAAAAAAGTCTGAATTTCTTGTCTTATAACTGCTGCTATTCTCTCTCTTCTTTTTAAAAGCTGAACAGGAACATACTCAGAAGAAGACCTTTACCTGCTGGATAAACTCACAGTTGGCAAAGGTGAGGGAAAAAAATAACAAATTAAGTTATAAATATATATTACTTCCTCAATTTTGACCCAAATGAAGCCATAAAAAATAGTACTGGTGATAATATAAAAACAAAGCTTTGAACTAGTTCACTCAGGGATGAGGCAGGAATAGACCTACGTTTGTAAAATATGGTGCTGGTGGTATTGATTGCCTTTGAGTCAAATACAACTCATAGTGACTCTATGAACAAAAGGCCTGAAGCCTTTCTATAACTATAGACATTTATCAAAGTTCATAGAGTTTCCAGAGGCATGGGTTTATTGGAATGATAACAGGAAGAGGGAAAATTACAGGTTGAAACCCTGGAATGGGAGAATAGGAAAAATTGTAGTTAAGTCATTTTAGAAACTTGATGTAGGAGATTGAATTTTGCCAGGACTAGAGAGAATGACATATAACATTCAAAATATCACTTGGCTTCCATCTTTGATCCAGATTCTTTTTGTTTGATCTGTGCCATTCAAGAGATTTGGTTGCTATGCAGAACCTGCTGCTTTTGTTTTCTAAGATGGAGATTAAATTTCTAGCTGATCATGACCCATAATTTTTCCATTTTAGTTATTATTCTAGTTGTTGTTGTTGTGTACCATTGAGTCAGAACTGACCCATAGCTGACCCTCCAGCAGAGGCTAGCTGGTGGATTCGAACCATGTGAATTTGGGATTGCAGCACAGTTCTTGCTACTATGCTACCAGTGCATGTCAGTATACCCACATCTTATAAATTAGGATCCCTTCCATTTTTTCTTAGTGCCCAGTTCAATCAGTCCAACATTAAAGTTGATGATTAATTGTATGTCTTGAATAAAAATGGGCTAAAATTTAAAATTTACCTTGATTTTGTTTTGATGGTTTTTAAAAATTCTTTTCCAGCACATTAAGAGGAAAAAAAGGACATGTACAGTGATATAAAAATATTTAATTAGTAGTATCTTTCATGAAATGAAACAGTAACAATAATGGCTCATATATATTGAGTATTGACTGTATTAGGCCCTGTCATAAACATTTAAAATATGATAACTCCTTTACTCTCAACAACAATGCTATAAAATTGTTTCAAAGACAGGGAAGTGTGTAGAGGAGAGGAGTTATGTGACTTGTCAGGCTCACACAGTTTATAAGTGTTAGCATCAGCACATAAACATAGGCAGTCTGGACCTAGAGGTCTTGACCTTAATGATCATGACATCGTACCTTTTAGTATGCCAAGTGCTGGCTACAGCCTAGGTACACAAAGAATGACTCCCTTCTCACTGTCCCCTTTGCTCTCCTCCCAACACAGTGTTTATCTTTCTAAATCTGAGAAACTACTCAGCTGGCTTACTTTAGAAAAATGGTCTTTGTCTCCAAATACATGAAAGTGTTATTAGAAATTTGTCAGCAAATAAACTAGGTTCATTATTTTTCTTAACATGTTTTGATATGGATTGTTTCAAGTTCACATCATTCTATTAGTTAAGAAGAAAATTACTACCATAAAACCACAAAGTACATTGATAAAATTCTTAAGGGTATTGTGTCTTTGGATCAAAGTTTGAATGATTATTTTTCTTGTGCCCATTTGCAGCACACACACCCCACAGTTGTATCAGACCTATTCACAGACATTAAGAAGGGGCATGTCCTTCTGGACTTGTTGGAAGTACTTTCAGGACAACAGTTGGTAAGCTTTTACAGGACATCCAAAATGTCATTGCTTGAAAAAAAAAAGCATTTCATATTACTGAGTGATTTCTTTTGTTTTAATTTCATAGCCTCGGGATAAAGGATCTAATACATTCCAATGCAGAATCAACATAGAACATGCTCTGACATTCCTGAAAAACCGATCAGTGAGTATGAATTCCCATGAAATCAGAGCCAAGATTGAGGCTATGACTTATTCTCTCCTTTTAACTCAAATTTCTTCTTTTCCAGATCAAGCTAATAAATATCCATGTGGCTGATATTGTAGATGGAAATCCATCAATTATTCTTGGCCTGATTTGGACAATTATCCTGCACTTTCATGTAAGTTATATGATTATATACAAGTTATTACCACTTTAATTACCATAGTGTATAATCTGTGTCATGAAATAAATGCTCCTTGATGCGGAATTTAGTCTTGAGCTTTTCTATAATAGGACATTGGAAATCTTAACCAGTGGAAAATATATAGTTTACTTTTTGCTACTTTTTCAATTGAAAATGGAATGTTGAATAATGATTATATTAGTATTAAATTATACTCATGGCATTGTCCGAGTTGTGCTGCTAATCTAGAGATGTTCATAGCTGGTGGTAATGACTCTGAGGGAGAAATACTCAGCCTTGCAATTTACAGCTACGGAAACCCAATAGAGCATCAATTTTGAGTCATCCAACTAGAAGGCAGTGAGTAAAGCATTGGTCAAAATTGAACTTGTTACCCTTTAAAAAAACTGAAATTATAAAAACTAGAGCAGAAATAAATGAAATAGAAATCCGAAAAACAATTGAAACTATCAACAAAACTAGGAGTTGGTTCTTTGAAAAGGTCAACAAAATCGATAAACCACTAGCAAAACTCACAAAAGAAAAGAGAGAGAAGACACAAAATTGAACTTGTTATAGTATATGATGCTGATTTTTTAAATTTATTGTCATTAAGTGGGTAGAAAGCTGCTGGAGTAAATGTTTGAAAAGTAAGAAATTACTTTGTAAAACCCTGCTATTTTTTTTTAGTACCATATTCCAATCTGAGTAATTTTTCCAATATCCAGTTCTGTCCTCACACTAACTCATACCAAAACCAGACCCTACTACCATGAGAACATGAAAGGGCTTGAGGAAAACCAGAGGGTAGGCCCAAACGAGACATGCTACTATTCAAGGATTTGGTCTACGAGTAGACTCCCACATTGATCTGATACTTTCTAGATCTTGTATTGACTGTAGCATTCTGTCAGTACCACTAATTTGTGGTCCTGTGTGTGTTCACTGTTGCTATCTTTTCCTTAGATTGAGGAGCTTGCCCAGACTCTTTCTTGCAATTACAATCAACCTTCTGTGGATTGTGTGAATGAAGTTGACACATCTCCTACCTCAAGTCCTCCAGCTAAGAAATGCTCCAAAGCCCAAGCAAGATGGCAGATGTCTGCAAAGAAGGCTCTGCTCTTGTGGGCTCAGGAGCAGTGTGCCACGTAAGTAGTTTCCTGTGACCCACAGGTTTGCAGATAAGACTCACAGGGCAAATGTATCTGCTAGCCCAACGTCACTGAAAGTCAGGTAGACTGAGTATAATGCTCATCCAGACACTTGCATTTCATAAAAAGAAAACACCCATAGTGCCACTGTTGTAAAACAACTGACATTGGGGTAGAGGGGAGAATGAGGAAGATGGGATAAATTATTATGTATACTGCATTGAAACAGATGAGGGAGATAACTATTTAAAAGGGATATATGATTAGGTATTATTGTCATGACAGGAGTCCAGAACGAAGGCTGCATAGTGGAGTAGACTTGGGGGGAGGGATTGTATAACAATAAAAGAAATTTTTCTTTTACTTTTCAAAGAGAAGAGCGAACTGAGGGGGCAGGGGTGGGCAGGGAGAAAAGTGCAACAATGAGTGAATGGAAATCCAAAGTCTTTGTAAATTTTCATTAAAATTAATAATAATTTAAAAAAATAGAAAAGAATCCAATTCCTTAATAAAAATTGCTGGAGGATCCTTAAAAAAAAAGAGAGAAGAAAACACCCAAACCATGCTATACCATTTCCCCCCCAACTCAGCCCCAGTGAATTTTCTATTTGTGGAGATCTGTGGACCCTGGTGGTGCCCCAGTTAAGTGTTTAGCTGATAACCTATAGGTCAGCAATTCAGGCTCACCAATCACTGTGAGGGAGAAAGATAAACCAGTTTGCCTCCATAAATATTTAGAAGCCTTGGAAACCATGTGAGATATTTTGACGTGGTCCTCTAGGGTCACTGTCAGTTGGAATCAAGTTGATGATAAAGGATGAGCTCAGTTATTCTTAGTTCTCAAAGCCTGAACATGGTGTCGTCCGAGTAACCTGCCTGTTTGGCTACCATTTGTTTTGGTTAGATGCTCTATTTTTGTTTTGGAGTAAAACGGTCTTTAAATACCTTTTTCTTTAGGCATAATTTCATCTGTAAGGTGGTTTTAGATTCACATGTTTTACCATAGTATCTGACATAATGCAGGTGCATTTAAACTTGTGAGAACTCTATCAGGAGATAGTATGCCATCTAACCTTGTGTTTGTTTGATGCTTAAATTTAAACAGTCAAGTTAGAGACCTGCTTTGCGGAGCATTTTTCTAGAAATATGTTCGTAGTCCCCAGTTTCCTCCATACTAAGAATCATTTTATATCATGCCACATAGAAATCATAGAAATGAGATGTCCTTTTTTTTATAAGGAAGTCGACTCGACGGCACATAACAACAAACAACAACATGTTAAATTTACTGAAGTTTCTAGGTGGACACTGAAAACTCCCTCAATGTACAGTGTTCTTTTTGCACTCAGTTTTATGGCATTATTTCTTCCCTGTTATTTAATGGTATTCCCTCTTCTCCCATCTGTAAGTTGGTGCAGAGCCGTAATACATGAGAGACTACTGCTTGGAACTGTTTACTGCTACACTAAGACACCAAAGTCCCCATAGTTTACAATACCATACTTTAGTAAGGAAATAAAGCAACAAGAGAGAAGGCATTCAAGAAAAATGACAATAATAATGGGAGATTAGTGCTCTTATTTCCTTTTTTTAAAAAAATAATTCCTTGGAGGACATTTACTTTTTTATTTCAACGAACTACAGAGATGAAATTTTGGAAGAATAAGGCGTATTAGATAATAGAAATGGTGATTCAACTTCTCACATACATTGAGCATATTGTCAGGAGAGACAGAAGCTTAGAAAAAGATGGCATGCTTGGAAAAGTAGAGGAGCAGTGAAAGAGAAGAGCTCCCTCCAAGGAGATAGGCTGATAAAGTGACTGCGGTAGTGGGGCTTGAGCAGGGCAGAGGCTGTGAGCACAAGACGGAGGAAGGTTCCAATCTGTTGTTCACAGGGTCTCTGTGAGTTGGAGTTGACTTGATGGCATTTAATAATGAGTTTGTTGTTGTGTAGTGTCGAATCAGAACTTAATCATAGCTGACCCTCCAGTGAGTTTTCAGAGGCATTAAATCTCATAGGAGGAGATTGCTCATTTTTCTCCGCAGAGCCAGCTGGTGGTTTCGAACCATGTGCCCTTGGGTTAACAGCACAACTTACCACCTAGCTACCAGAGCTTCCTCAGGAAGGAGTTTAGATGCGGATAGTTTTACCACAAGAAGAGCTACAGAGTTTAGAAGGATTCCTTGTCACAGATAGCCTTGCCAGGGAAAGTGGTACTATGTCCTTTCAACTGTCTGGATTTCTGAGTTATTCTTATTTAATGAAAGGCTGTGATGTTAATTTCTTCTTCAGTTTCATTCTTCTTTAGTTGTCATTCATCCTCCTTAATTCTACAAAAGGCACAAATGTGCTGATCTTAAAGGTTTTAAGTGCTTTACATGAACTTTCCTTGACTCTCTCAAAGATCGTTATGCTTCAGTTGACTAAAAATTTTTTAATCTAAAACAGAGGATGTGTGAAAAACATGATTACATCACATCAGATTTCTTTCATTTATGTTAACCTTCAAGGTCTTTCAGATTCCAGATATTTTTTCAACACCTCAGGTTTCCTCCATGTCCCTCTTTATTTTTTTTAAATTTAAAGCCTTTGATAAACCTATTAAGATGCAGAACTTTTTCTTAAGTATTTCAATCATGCCGTCATCCTAGTTTCAACAGTCACTGATGGCGTTGTTAGATGACTTTGATGTTGCTGTGCTGTGATTATCAGGGACTCAGGTGTAAAGCTAAATTAGGGAGATCTGTGGCTTAGTGGGTAAGGGTTTGTGCTGCCAACTCAGAGACAGGTACTTTGAATCCACCACCTGATCTGCTAGAGAAAGATGGGCAGTCAACTCTCTTGTGATTTACACCTTCTGAAAACCTGCTAGAAGGTCAGCTATGACTCAGTTCCTCATAGGAGTCAGTGATTAGGTTTTGTTTTCTTGTGAAGCAAACGAAGCCAACCACGTTCCCTTTTCTCAGTGAGCCCGAATACTAGCAGTCAGTGGGTGCCCTATGATTTAGCTGTGACTAGCCCTTTGTGGTCTGCTTTGGGCTCTGCCCTCCGATACGTGATCTTGTCCCTCCCAGCCCCACCCTTCTATCAGTTTAATATCAGTTTTGTATTTAAGAGCATACTTTGAAGTTGGATGAAGTACTCGAGTTTAATTTCTGGCTCTTAACTATCTCTCACTGATGACCTTGGCCCTTTGAATCTGTGCTGTAGTCTCCTCAGTGAGAAAATGTGGATAATATTACTTCTTAAAGTAGTTGTGGATAGGATAAACATTAATTCTTCACTTACTTGGTATGTTTCTGAGCACAGTAAACACCTTGTGTTTGTTAAACAACAGGAAAGTCATTAACTACAATGTGACATGCCACACATCTGCACTAGTGTCCAGTTAATTCCACGTCATTGTGACCTCTATCAGGTTTCCAAGGCTATAAATCTTTATTGGAAGAGAATGCACATTTTTCTCCCATGAAGTGTCTGGTGGATTCAAACTACTGAACTTCCAATGAGCAGCCCTACATATAAAGCATTACATCACAGTGATCCAAACGCTTGTCACTTGATTCATTCCATAAGCCATTGACTTTTCCTCTTGAGATGTTAAAGAAAACTAGAGTGTTGTAGATACTGAATGGTGCCTGATCCTACCCAGAGGAACCTTGGAAGGTGGGCCTAGTGGCCTGTTTCCAAAAGGCCCCGGCCACAAAGCAATTATTTTCTGTGCACCTCATAACTGACTGAATGACAACCAGCAGTAATTAGAATTGTTCTGGACTGTTTCTCAAACGGTTTAGAGAATCTGGACTTGTTTCTCTGGACTTGTTTCTCAAACTTAAGTTAGCTAAAGTAAGGTGTAGATAAAATTTGTGTAACTAGTGGGCTACTACACCACTGACTTCACACACGGTATAATTTAATTTGCTTTTAAGAGAAAGAAAAATGTTTCTTATAATGAAGAGCATCAATTACATGCAGAAGTCTAAAGCTGGTCATGATCCAAGAGATTAAATAAATGAAAAGTATCTATCTACAGCCATGGTTCTCAGACCTTTCTTACCTGCAGGGTTTGTTACACACCTTGGTGGGTCTTCTCCAGGGTTTGATTGAGTAGGAGGGGGTGAGGCCCAAGGGCTGTACTTTTCTGGCCAGTTCCTTTATGAAGTAAATTCTGCTGATCTGGGCCGGGGGGACGACGAAAACGACACACAGTATGAAAACCCAGTATAACATTTACTTTGACCACAAATTACATCTTTTAACTAGAATGATTTATATAATTTATTTGCTCCATTCAATTTTGCATTACTTCCTACTGAACATACTCTAATTGTCGTGATACAGTTTTTTTAATAGTGCTTATCATATTTTTTGTCCCTTTATGATAGCTATGAGTCTGTGAGTGTTATAGATTTTAAGTCAAGCTGGAGAAATGGGATGGCTTTTTTAGCCGTCATTCATGCCTTGCGACCAGACTTAATTGATTTAAACACTGTGAAGCATAGATCCAACAGAGACAATTTGAAAGAGGCCTTCAGGATTGCAGAACGAGAATTAAACATTCCCAAACTGCTGGAACCAGAAGGTAAAGAAACTTGCTTTTTTTTAAGACAAAAATGGTTTCTGTTTATGAAATACAACAACGTTAATCTATAGTCCTGGATAATTTTATTTCTTTGCTAAGTTTTATGAAATTAAGATTTCTCACCAGATGATGTAGGCCATTGTGGGATGAAGTTACAGCTGAAAGCAACTGCACTGCTGGGAATAATTTGAGCCTGTGCTTAGGTTTTCTTTTATTTCCTTAGGTTGTTTTCGTTATTGTATTCTCCTAAATTTTATTATATTGTTTTGAAATGTCTTCCATAAGATGTATCTTACTCAGTCCTGAATTAAAGTTGTTTACATGTTTGTCTTTTTCTGTTCCCCACCCCTCTTTTGGAGCCAAATCTCTGTGAGGATCCATGCTGCTGTTTTGTTTCCTAGCTTATGGCTACAGTTTACCCAGCTTTTCCCACTGAAACTGTAAATCATGCTAGATAGTAGCAAATGAAAATGAAAAATTCCTAAATCCTGGCTATATTCACAAAAATTATTCTAAAAAAGCAACTTTTAAAAATGTTATGATGTATTGTGATAGGAAAGTCTGCTGTAAGGGACCTCTCCAAAGTATTGAAGAGCAATGATGTCATTCTGGAGACTAAGGTGCGCCTGATACAGGCCATGGTCTTTGCAATCACTTGCTGTGCGTCAGAGAGCTGAACAATGACTAGAGATGATAGAAGAATTGATGCCTTTAGGGTGTGGTGCTGGAGAAGAGTATTTAATATACCGTGGACTGCTAAGAGAATGAACAGGTTCATCCCGGAGAGGGTTAAACCAAGCTGCTCCTTGGAGGCAAAGATTCTGAAGCTTTGTCTGACATTCTTTGAACATACTGCAAGGAGGGACCAGTTCTTGGAGAGAGATTTCATGCTTGGGAGGGTGGAGGGACAGCACAGGAGAGGAAGACCCTTAATAAGATGGGTTGATTCAGTGACTGGGGTAATGGGGGTAGGTGTGTCAGAGACAGTGAGATTGGCACAAGTTAGAGTAGGGTTTAGGGCTCTTGTACAGAGTTGCAGGTGACTTAACGGCACATAACAACAACAACAACAAGATTGGAACAATTTATTTTGAAAAGCACTCTGCTTTTGATTGAATTAAGTGCCAAAAAAGCAGCATAGAGGATTAGTGACAATTACAGTGAACTGAAAAGAAAAGTGATATGAATTCTAGCCTCAGCTTTCTTTACCAGTTAGATTCCCTGGTGGCCTACTGGTAAGGGGCTCTGCTGCAATCCCCAAAGCACAGGATTAAAATCCACCAGCTGCTTTAAAAGAGAAAGATGGGTAGTCTCCTCCATTGTGATTTATTGCCTCTGAAAACCTGCTGAAGAGTCAGCTTTGAGATAGTTCAGACTCAACAGTAAATAGTAACAACAAGAAGTGAGCAGGTTTGGTCAGGCTTGACCCCTTGATGACAGTTTGAATTTCTACTCCATAGATATTGACTCAGAATTTACATTTTAACAAGATTCTTTTGCATACCTAAGAGTCACCTAGATATCCTGTTAAAATGTAGATTAAGTGTATATAGAAGTGGAAGTACAAATTCTCAGCAGAGATCGTACCTATTCATTTTACTGTAACTAGGATTGTACTGGTAAGTATTTAACAATTAACTCTAAAAATTAGGTGTACATATACACATGAGTTTATGACAGATTTTACGAATGTAGAAGACACGTAGCAGGTAATTAATAAATGATGGTAATATATATCATGCTATAATAAAATCAGTATAATTCAACACATTGATATCTCTTGTATCTGTAGCCGATTTATGGTTGGAATTGGTGAATAAGTGTGGTTCCTACATGACTACTGTTGGTTAAAGACCTTTCTTTAATTAATAAGGGGAACAAACAACATATGTATATCAGAGCTTCACCTGGGTTTTAATCATCTGGGTGACTTTGCTTGTTGAATCTAATATTGGAAGACTATTTTCTCATTTCTATACTATTCATTATACACACACACACATATACAAATGGAACATAATTTTATCTGTGTTGTATTTAATCTGTATTTTCTCATCCTCTTTATAAGAAGCAACAAACCAAGCCTTCATATGCTTATTTTGATATGTAAGTATTATCATTGTCACAGTTTCAGGGAGTGCTTGTGGCTTAGTGGTAAGGAATTGTGCTACCAACCCAAGAGCGCATGGTTCAAAACCACCAGTTCGTCCATGGGAGAAAGATAGGCAGCCTCTCTCTCCAGGCGACGGCCTCTGAAGCCCTCTGGAGAGTCAGCTGTGGGTTAGTTCTGACTCAGAGGTACGTAACAACATCGTATGCCACAAGGTAGGGCAAGGTTCACATCCATTGTTCTTAGAGTAGCTATGACTCACAGTCAGCTTGAGGGCTCATAACAACAACATGAAGTCACTGAACACCGTTGGGGAGAGGACACAAATAGATAATACTTTCATCATAGATGCACAATAGGTGTAAATAACTCCAAAGAAGAGAAATAATGCAGTTATGTGCTGCAGAGGAAGAACTAACTCAGAGCTGACCTGCTGGTGGGTTTTTGGAGGCTGTAAATTGCTTGGGAGGAGATTGCCTATATTTCTCCCGTAAGCAGATGGTAGCTTGCCTTTGAGTTGCTGGCACAATTCCTTACCCACTAGGACACCTAACTTTATTTTCAATATGATTTACTAATTCTATGTTAGGGAGCTATAGTGGCCTAGTAGCAAGAAGCAGCATTGTAATCCTGAAGGCATGGTTTGAGGCCACCAGCTGCTCCATGGGAGAAGGATGGACAGTTTCCTACCATGCAATTTACAGCCTCCTTAAACTGCCTCTGAAAACCTGCCAGCTATAGGTTGATTCTGACTCCATGGTACACAATAACAACAACAATTGTATGTTTATAGAACTCAATTTTTTAGTTATGACTGTTTAGAAAAGCTTACAGAGTTATCAAAAATTTGTGAATTATGGTTATCACAAGAGTCCACAATTCCGGTTGCATAGTGGAATGTACTTGGGGCCGTGGGAGGGGTGTGGGGGGTATTGTGTACCAGGGAGGGAGTGTTTCTTTTACTTTTCAAAGAGAGGAGCAAACTGGGGGATGGGAGGGGAGGGTTGGGCGGGGAGAGAAGTGCAGCAATGAATGAATGGAAATCCAAGATCTCTGTAAATGTTCATTAAAATTATTTTAAAAAAAGATATTTTTTCTGATTTAAAAAAAAAAAAAGATTGCTGAGTCGCAAGTGACTCCAAGGCACATAACAAAAACAATTGTGATTTTAATGAAAGTTTGCAGAAAAGTTGGAGTTTTAGTCATTCATCATTGTGTTTTCCTTCCTACTCACCCAGTTCATTTTTTAAAAAATATTCATTTATTATTGTATAGTTAGTTTCCTCCCTCTTGCCCTACCCCTTCCCCTAGTCTACTTTGCTATGCATCTATTATTCTTTACTGTTGTCATACAAATAAAGCTTACTCTTCTATTCCTTTTTTTAAAAAAAATTGTTTATCAGCTGTTTTTCACTATTGGTCATGGATTAATTATGTAAATTTTTGGTCTTCAGGTTTTTTAATATGCAAAAATTACAGTTGAGTTTAGTCTTAAATTTACTGGTTCCACATTTTATATTTCATTTTATCAATGGTCTCTCTTCTCATTGCTTATTATTAATCCTTTTGTGAGCATTATTTATGTCTTTGAGGTTCCCCCCTCCTTCCTGCCTCGCCTCCTCATTGCTTTTTTGTCTTTTAGAAATTCTTTTTATTTCTCCCACATTTTAACTCTAATTCTGTATTGCTGGTAGTTGATTTGTTTTGTTTTGATACTTCTCTTATACTGTGATTTTTTTTTTTTGGTTTTAATAGAAAGCAATTTCTTTTAGTGTCTGTGAATAATTAGGTAACAAATGATCTAGACAATGAAATAAAAGCCCATTTCCTCTACTGTATGAATGATTGCCCTTAATTTACTAAAAATAGCTTAAATAGTAGCTCAGTAATTGAAATACATCATGATGATTGGTGCAAACCAAATGCTACAGTCATATCTGAATAAGAGAATAAATATTTAATTATTTGGACACAATTTTTTTTTTTTAAAAAAAACACACATTTAATCACCATGCATGGTTTCACTGGTAATGAGAAATTTTTAAAAAGAAATTACTGGTTTAGCCAGTATCATTATTTTAATCTCTTTCAGTTTATCTTTTTCTTAGTAAAACAGTTACCCAGTTCTTGCAGGCTCTTCCTTTTTTGAAACTCTATCCACAACTTTTTATGGATTGCTTTTATATGCTTCTTGTTAGTTACTCTCAATTAACTCCAACTCAGCTGCTATCAGTTGATTTGTTCTCCACCAGGGACCCAGGTGGACACAGTATACCTGCTCCATCAAGTTTTCAAGGCTGTGACCTTTCAGACTCAGAAGACTAAGCCCTTGGTTAGGCTCTAGCCTCCAGCCTTTCAACTTATCACTCAGGAAATCTCTTCTGTGCTTACTGTTTTGAGTTATAGTATTGTTTGTGGAATTCAGTCACCTTCTGTGGTTGATTTAGAGGACCCATAAAAGCATTCCATAGGTTGACTCGATGGTACACAAAAGTAACACAATGTGCATGGTGTGCTATATTTATTTTATATTTATTTAACTGTAAACTGCTGCTCTTTTTCAAGGGGGGATTAATTTTTAAATTGTTATTTGAGTAAAATTTTACAAAGCAAATTAATTTTTCAGACATCCATTCATACACATTTTATTTTGTAATATTAATTTCAATACCGGTAATATAATTTCCTCCGTAATGTATGTGCACACTCAAGCCAGTCAGTCATTGGATTCTTGCTTACAAAATGTTTAACCTGCCCTTCCTACTGTACTGGAAAACCAATAAATGTTGTCTGTTTTTTGTTTTTTTTTAAATAATAATGAAAGTATTTATGAAGACTTTTCCAGTTAAATCCATGACAATGTCAACTTAGAGCTCTGGTGGCCTAGTGACAAGAAGCTGAGCTGCATTCCCAAAAGCGCTCAGTTGGAGGCCACCAGCCACTCAGCGGGAGAAGAAAGGACAGTCTCCTCACACGTGATTGCTGCCTCTTAAAACCTGCAGCATTGTCAGCTATGGGTCGGTTTTGACTCGATGGTACTCAACAGTAACAACATAATTGCACTTTTCTGTTTCTTCGCTATAAATCTGATTTCCATAAATTCATCTACACTTCTTTTTTCTGTAGTGATATTTTGCTTATCATTTTTAATATGTTTTTGTTTATTTTGTATATTCTCTTTCCCTTCATATATCTTCATTTGTGTCTGTTATTTTCAATTTCCTCTGTTAATGGCACCTCGCAACAGCACTGCCCTTGCTTGAACTCTGGGTGTGAAGTTCATAGGAAATTGTGCACCTAATTCAAACTCTGGCTGTTCGAATCTACCAGGGTCTCCTTGGGAGAAAACTGAGCAGACTGCTCTCATGAGAGTACAGCTTTCTGAAAACTCTTTGGAGGGTCAGCTGTGAGTCAATTCTGACTCTAGGACAGAGTTTAAGTTGAGTTCTTCTCTTTCTATCTCTCATAATCATGCAAGAATGTTCTCTCTTTGTATAAACCTTTCCTTGGCTGTTTCTAATGTGGTCTTTACAGTATTTGTCCTAACTGTAAGCTTATTGTGGTACAGTTCCTAGCATCTCATCATTGAATGAATAAAGGGGTGAAGCATAAAGTCTCTGGGGGCAAGACCTGTGTACTTTGCCTGTAACCTGTAATTGTTGAGACTGTGAATATTTGTTGCATTGAGTGTAACTGAATTAATAAGCAAAGGAGACTGATCTTTATGCGATGCTCTGCCGCACAAATGCCAAAGCCTCTCTCTGGGACGGATTTCAGTTGCTATATCTTTCTTCACTCACGGAGGAGTCTCTGCACCATATTTCCAGAGAGAGGGATGCTCTGTGTCTCCTTTCTGCTCTCTTGGACTACTTTTATTTTATTCTACAATGTGCTTAAACTTACCCACAGTTAATTCAGACTCTTAGCTACTCTCTGTTGAGTTTCTGAGCTTGAACTGTTTATGGGAAGAGACTGTATCATCATTCTACAACATGCATAGTGAGTGCCAGCATTCAATCCAAACCTGTCTGACTCTAGATCCAGTCTCTTAACTAGTAGGCATTCATGAGAAGGATGCAGGACCAGGGACTGACTTCATCGCTAGTGAATCACCTGGATTCTTTTCAAGGCTGCCCTGTGTCACAGCTTCTTCTGACTGTTAGTTAACTGACCATGTGGCTTGTTTTGCAGATGTAGATGTTACCAATCCTGATGAAAAGTCAATTATGACTTATGTGGCTCAGTTTCTAAAGTATTCCAAGGATGCAGCTAGGACTGGAGAGGAGACTCAGGTATGTCGATAAATACAAACCGTGGTCATTTTTGTTGTCCCTGACTGATTGTTGTTTTAATTATAAAGATGTTGTTTTAATTATAAAGATTGAGATAAAAGTTACTGACTGTGAAATGCACGGATCCTAAGTGAACAGAAGGAGCTCTGTTGATAGGTTCTGTAGTGTGTGTGTGCAACTAAGTAAATGACCTTATCTCTCTGGGAGTTCAAATCCACCAGTGCCTCTAAGGAGAAAAGGTGAACACTCTCCTTCCATTAAGATTTACAGCCTTCGACACCCAGTGGTTCGGCCGGCCGTTTGAGTTAGAATAGGCTTGATGTCAGTAATTGTGGTTTTGATAAGTGTCTGAGTTTTGAAAAATTACCTACACCCATGTAATCTATATTTCGATCATCATCTAAGACATCCATGACCCAAAAGGCTTTATCTCTGTTCTGTCTAGTTTGTATCCTACCAAATCAAACTCACCTTTAAGTAGATTCTGACTGGTAGTGACCCTCTAGCTTACAGCAGAAATGCTTCAATAGGGTCTTCAAGGCTGTAAATCATTTCAGAAGCAATGGAGTCTCCAAGGCTCTAAATCTCCCTTGTCTTTCTTCAGTAGAGCGGCGTGGTAGATTCAAGCTACTGCTGTTTGAGTTAGCCCAATACACAGTCCACGATGTCACCAGGGCTGATTTGTACACCACAAGCCAGCTTGTATTCTAATTTCTTTCCAGTAGTTAGTTGTGTCATTTCACATTAAAAGTCTTAATTTAGGGGAGCTCTGGTGGCCTAATGGCAAGAAGCTGACTGCAGTCTCAAAGGTGCGCTGTTCAAATCCACCAGATGCTCTTCTGGAGAAGGAGGGGCAATCTTCTCCTGTGCCAGTTGGATCCGATTCGACAGTACACAACAAAAAAAAGGGGAGTGGTGGTTAATTTATAAAACTTTGCTGAATTCTCGAAAATATCTTTTTAAAGCTGCTCTCTATAGGATCACTTGTTCAGTTATAGGAAATATTTTTCTATTATAAATTTTAAAAGGTTTAGAGTATTCAGGGCAGGGAAACACTGCATGGTTCAAAATCAGGAAGGGAGTACATCGGAGATGCATCCTGTCTCCATATCTTTTGAGTCTATATGCAGAACAGATCATTCAGGAAGCAGGGCTTTAAAAGGCGGAAGGTGACATCAGGACTAGAGGAAGAGTCATCAACAACCTCCATTGTGTAGATAACATAACCTTGCTTGCTGAAACTGAAGAAGGTCTGAAGTGCTTGATGGAGAAGGTCAAGGACTGTAGTCTTCAATATGGATTGAAGCTCAATATCAAGAAGACAAAGATTCTCACCACTAGGCCAACTGGCAGCATGATGGATGTAGAAGAGATTGAGGTTGTTAACAGGTATAGCTTGCTCGGCTTCCCAATCAACACTCTTGGCACCAGCAGTCAGGAAATCAAAAGACAAATTACATTAGGTAAATCTGCTGTCCAGGGACCTTTCTAGAATTCTGAGAAGCGATGATGTCAGTCTAGAGACTAAGGTGCGCCTGATCCAGGCCATGGTCTTTGCAATTACTTGCTATGCATTAGGGAGTTGGATAATGCCTAAGGATGATAGAAGAAGAATTTATGCCTTTGAGTTGTGATGCTGGAGAAGAGTCTTGAACATACTATGGACCACCAAGAAAAGAAATAGGTCTGTATTGGAGAAGATGAAACCAGGTTTCTTCTGGGAGGCTAGGGGTTGGAAGATTTGTCTCATTTACTTTGGGTATGCGGCCCAACGGGACTCATTCTTGGAGAAGAACATCATGCTCAGAAGGGTGGAGGGACAGTGCAGGAGAGGAAGACCTGGATAAGATTAATTTATACAGTATCTAGTGCAATGGGAGTAGGTGTGTCAAAGTCAATGAGACTGGCTCAAAACAGGGAGGCTTCTGAGCTATTGCACATAGGGTCATTATGAGACACAGGCGACTGGACAGCACATAACAGAAACTGCAGCATAGTATTTATATACCATAACATCCTCCCATCTAAAATGTGCAGTGGGTTTTCGGTGTATTCACAGAATTAGATTTCATCATTCCAAGAAGAAAACCTGCTCACATTTTTAAAAAATTTAACATGATAGAAAGTAAGTGGTATGCATTGTATTGTGCTCTTGATCCCTGCTTGTTGAGCTACTGCGCAGTTTCCATCACATTGCCATTTGATTATTCAGTTTTTATTGATTTTCACCACCTATTGTAGATAGCCATTTCATACAAATGAGTGACCTGGAAGGGAACACTTATTCAACTTTTGTGATGATAAAATGAGTGTTGTGGATTTACTAAATGCTTGATGGATGTTATTTTTAAAAGCACTTCAGATAATTTTTTCAGACATGTTTCCATGCAGTCACATTTTATTGGACAAGTTTTCCCGCCTGTGGTAGTCAGGGCATGCCAGCTAAATGCTGCCAACAATCGAGGAGAAATACAAGCTCTTACTTCAGCTCATTTATTCCTGATCTGCTGAGGAGCTACTTTTCTCCCAATTAATTTTCATATTAAAAAAATTAAATTAAAAATTCAACTGTCCATGAAATTGATGCAGAGTATATTAGAGGACACTCTTTGACTAATAGAGAAGTAAATGGAAATTGAAGGAGAATAGACATAAGATGCAATTGACTAATCAAGAATCTCAGAAAAAGTCATTATTGCTCACTTGCATATGTCAGTCCAGTTGGATTTGCACAGTGACGGCAGTAATGGGCCTGAACCTGGTAGAGATTGTAAGGATGGTACAGGAGAGGGCAAGACTTTGGTCTCTTATTCATAAGGTCACTGAGAGTCTTCATTAACTTCCTTGTTAAGTGCTGTCAATGTGACTGTGACTTACAGTGACGAGCTCTGAACTGGACTTATCCTGCAACAGCCTTACAATCTCCTCAAAACATGCTTGACTCCATTGCTAAAGAATAAAACATGCTTCTTTCCCCCCCCCACTAGGTTATTTACAAAATTCTAATACAAATTTGAACAAATTCTTTCCATTTCCCTCACCCCCCATAAACATACACTTCTTGTGGTTTACTGTCAAATTGGAACTGACCCCTGACCCTCTATCAGAATTTCAGAGGGAGTAAATTGAATGGGAAAAGATTGTCCATCTTTTTCCCAAGGAGCATCTGGTGAAGTTGAACCACATACCTTTGGACTAGCAGTGTAATTCCTGACCACTAAGCCACCAGGAAGTGGCTGACATAGAAGAATTTCAAGAAACAATATATAATCACGATGCAGTAGTGATGAAGGAGGAAGTTCAGGCTGCTCTGGAGAATGGCAAAAAGTAAAGCCCCAGGAACTGATGGAATACTAATTGCCGTATTTCAGCAAACATATGCTGCCCTGCTTGTACTCACTAAGTTATGCCAAAAAAATTTGGAGTACAACTACTTGGCCAACTGACTGGAAGATATCTATATTTATTCCCATTCCAAAAAAAGGTGACCTGACAGAGTGTGGAAATTATCACACAGTATCACACACTAGCAAAATCCCGATGAAGATCATCCAGAAATGACTGGAAAAGTACATTGACAGAGAATTACCAGAAATACAAGCTGGGTTTAGAAGAAGTCATGGCACCAGAGACATTATTGCCGATGTCAGATAGATCTTGGAAGAAAGCACAGAGTACCAGAAGAATGTCTATCTGTGTTTCATTGACTATGCAAAGGCATTTGACTGTGTGGATCACAACAAATTGTGGCTAACTGAGGAAAATGCGAATTCCAGAACATTTGATTGTGCTTATATTAAAACTATACTTGAACCAGGAAGCAGTCCTCAGAACAGAGCAAGGAAACACTGCATGGTTAAAAATCAGGAAAGGAGTGTGTCAGGGATGCAAACCTTTTCAATCTATATGCAGAACAGATCATCTGGTAAGCAGGGTTTTATGAGGAGCAATGTGGCATTAGAATTGGAAGTAGACTCATCAGCAACCTACATTATGCAGATAACACAACCTTGCTTTCTGAAACTGAAGGAAACCTGAAGTGCTTGCTACAGAAGGTCAAGGACTGTAGTCTTCAATAAGAATTGAAGCTCAATATCAAGAAGACAAAGATACTCACCACTGGGCCAATTGGCAGCATCATGATAGATGGAGAAGAGATTGAGGTTGCTCACAATTACCGTTTGCTCAGCCCCACAATCAACACTCTTAACACTAGCAATCAGCATATCAAAAGATGAATTACATTAGGTAAATCTGCTGTGAGGTACCTCTCCAGAGTACTGAAAAGCAGTGATGTCAGTTTAGAGATTAAGATACACCTAATCCAGGCCATGGTCTTTGCTGTACAGTGACTAAGGATGACAGAAGAGAATTAATTGATGCCTTTTGGTTGTGGTGCTGGAGAAGAGTCTTGAACATACCATGGACCGCAAAGAAAACAAATAGGTCTGTCTTGGAGAGGGTGAAACCAAGTTTTTCCTTGAAGGCTAGGATTTGGAAGTTCTGTCTCACATAATTTGGGCATGTGGTCAGGAGAGACCAGTCTTTGGAGAATGACATCATGCTTGACAGGATAGAGGGACAACATAGGAGAGGAAGACCCCAATGAGTTGGATTGATACAGTAACTGGGGTAACGGGTGTTGGTTTGTCAGAATTAGTGAGACTGGCTGTGGACAGGGCAGGCTTCAGAGCTGCTCTACATAGGGTCAGTAAGGGTCGCAGGTGACTCGACAGCATATAACAAGTCACCAGAGTTCCCTAAAACATATACTTGCATAACACAAAATCACATTAGTATTGTGTTTGTTCAACTCTCATTGCTGTTGAGTTAGAACTTACTCATAACTGACCCTCCGGCGGGTTTTCAGATTGTAAATTACACAGGAGTAGATTCCTGATCTTTCTCCTTAAGCGTCACTGAGGTATTTGAACCACCTGTCTTTGGGTTGGCAGCATAATTCCTTATCCACTAGATCACCAAAACTAGGATCTTCAAGATGTTTTAAGGTTTGTTTTTTTTTTTTCAGTTTTTATAGGGTATGATTATCCATATTTATATTTATTCAAAACAAATAAAATTCTCTTAAACTCATTGCCTGTAAGTTGGAACTGACTCATACCTGAAGTTATAAATGACTAGAGAGGAGATGGCCCATCCTTCTTCCCCAGAGAATCATTGGATTCAAACTTCCAAAGAGATGTCACCTTTGAGTAACAGCACAGCTCTCTATGGACTAGATTTATTAGCTCAGCGTTATGAAATATCTATTATTAAAAAGTGGTTTAGAATAATATTCTGTAAAAAGTGAAGAATAATAGAAATGGATATGCCCCTAAAATGTGGCTATGTCCTGTTCTTTTAGTATGTTACTTTGAATCTGTTTAAAAATGTATGCTGTTATGCACACCCATGTTTATTGTGGCTTTGCTCACAATCGCAAGGAGTTGGAAACAACCTAAATGCCCATCAACTAATGAATGGATAGAGAAGTTGTGGTATATTCACACAATAGAATACTACACTGCATTGAAAAACAAGGAACTTGTGCAATATTATTCAAAATGGGTGACCCTGGAGGACATTATGCTGAGCAAAGTATCTCCATCCAAAAGGACAAGTACTGCATGGTGCCACTGTTGTAAATCAGGACTGACCTCGGGGTTTGGGGGAGACTAGAAAGATGGGTTCAGTACTGTATACTGCATTGAAACTGATGAGGGAGAAAACTGTTTAAAAGGGTAATGTGATTAGGTATTTTTGTCATGACAGGAATCCAGAGCAAAGGCTGCATAGCGGAGTGGACCTGGGGAGAGGGATTGTAAAACAATGAAAGAATTTTTCTTTTACTTTTCCAGGAGGGTAGTGTAGTAGGGGGGAGGGTTAGGAGGGGAGAAAGGTGCAACAATGAATGAGTGAAAATCCAAAGTCTCTGTAAATTTTCATTGAAATTAATAATAAATTAAAAAAATAAAAATGTATGATGGTGTCATGACATCAGTCTGGAACAAGAGTTATGCTGCATGGTAGACAGTGTGGGGAGAAGAAAATGGGCAACAATGAGTTAAAAAATAAAATTTAAAAATGTATGGTGTTACGTGAATAAGCGAATTTCCTCTTTGATGCAGTGAGTCATTGATGTGTCATGACTGAATTATTTCACTAACATTTTGAAGTTGTTAATTTTATTGTTAAAAAAAATCAGTTTGTCTATTTAGGATTCAGTTTTCTATGTGCTTTTCTTTTTTTGTAAATTACAGAGAGAGGTGAAAGATCCTGGAGTTTGGTTAGCTTTACAGGAGCAAAAGCTACAGAAGGTGCTAAGGGATTCAGAACATGAGTCTCACTTTAAAAACTATGAAGTAAGTATGAATTTAAACAGCGATTTATTTCGTTTACACTTTTAGGGGCAAAGAGAGAGGCTGTTTTTAGAAAACTCTTTCACACTCAATTCTTTAAATATTAACAGTAAGTTTTCAAGAACTTGAATTTGAGGACCAGGCCAAAATTCACTGCTGTCAAGTGGTTTGTGAATCATTGTGTCTGTATGGAACAGAGCAGAACTGCCTCTTTAAGGTTTCCAAGGCTGCACATCTTTAAGGAAACTGACCGCCACATGTTTCTGCTAGAGAGAAGCTGGGGGGATTGAATTCCCAGCCTTTTGGTTTGTTGCCAAATGCTTTTACTACTACCCTAGCTAAGGTTCCAATCCAAAAAAACTTAATGCACCACTGCCGAGTCAGTTGTGACTCCAGACTGGTTTTCCGAGGCTATAAATCTTTACAGTGGCCCATTTTTCTCTGAGAAGTTGGATTTGAATTGCTGACCCTTCATTTCTTAGTCTAACACATAAAGTACTACTGTACCACTCAAAGCCCTCCCACTACCATCTCTTTGCTTCTGACTTATAGCAAGCCTCAATTGTTTTTCAAGACTAAGCATTTATAGGAGGAGCTACTGGAGGATTTCAACTTCTGGAAGCACACACTCTGCCCCCGCTCACTCAATCTTTGCCATTGAATTGACTCTCTAACACGTTTTCTGAGATAGGGGAATAGAATGCCTATTTTCCTCCTGAACAGCAACTGATATATTTGAACTGCCTGCCTTTGGGTTGGGAGCTTTTGGTTGAACTGCCGACCCAAAGCCAGGCAGCCGCTGTACAGGAGGAAGGTGGCCAGTGTCCTATTGTGTGATTTACAGTCTGTGAAATCCCACTAGAGGGTCAGCTATGAGTTGGCTCTGACTCATCAGTGCGTAACAACAGCAGCCTTTGGGTTGTCAGAGCATATCCTTTGGGTTGTCAGAGCATCTCCTTACCCAAGATCACCAGTATTCCCTGCTGTGCCAGAAAAACTTCTAATTTTAGGACAGGCTTCTCAAATCTTAAAGTGCAGATAAATGATCTGGTGATCTTGTTAAAATTCAGATTCTGTTTTAGTAGGTCTCACTTGGGGCCTAGGGAGCTCTGATGACCTAGTGGTAAGGAGCTGCACTGCAATCCCGAAGGCATGTCATTTCAATCCACCAGCTGCTCCTTGGAAGAAAGATGGGCAGTCTCCTCCCATGTGATTTATTGCCCTGAAAACCCTCTGGAGGGTCAGCTACGGGGCTCTTCCAACTTGACGGCATACAACAACAAGAAGAAGTTGGGGCCTGAGATTCTTCTGTATTACTACTAAGCTCTCAGAAGTGATGCTACATCAGAGTGATCATTCACTCTTAGACAACCTTACAAGGGGAAAACTAGAGTCAAAGTAAAGTTTCTAGAGTTTTTACCCTTGTAATCTACTTTCTATGCAACTCTAAGCTACCTACAAATTCTCTAGTGTATATACATCTCTCTTTTCTTACCTGTAAAATGAAGAAGTTGGTTGAGTTTTGAAGTTCTGACTGTATTGTTCAGTCGATTGTGTGATATGTGGGTCCTATCTATTTTTGGGATGGAGCCTATGACTTGGTGGCCTAGTGCATTATGAATGACTGGCATTGCTAAATGAAAGAGTGGTAGTTCGAATCCACTGTCAGAAGAGCAAGATGAAGATGAGACTGTGCTTCTGTTAAGATTTATGATCTGGGAAATCCAATGGAGGGTAGCTGTGCGTCAGAATTGACTTATGACTGTGTGTTTGGCTTTTATACTTCATTTTCATAGTTTTCTGTGGCCTGAGATTAATTTTTTTATGATGATAATTTACAAGAAAATCCACTAGTAGAGTCTTGTTTTCACACATACATTTAATAATTTACCATGGTCTGGGGTTTCTGAAAAGTTAGACTTAATAAGTTATTAATGAAAAATACTGTCTGTGATTACAGATAATAGTTTAATAGTTCTTAATGATTCAAATAAATATTTCACACAAATGCAAAATGCCTGTTAAAAACTATTAATATTTGAGGACAAGGATGCAATGTGTTTGTTTTTTTTTTAAATTCTGTATAAATAACTTGGAAAGAATTGACTTACACTTAATCGTAAACACCAAAATGACTTTATACAAAATACCTGCTGTTGTATAATTCTCACTTTGACTCATGTTGTTGTGAGTACGTATTTGGGGAGGTCAGACAGGTTCACACTTGACCTAGTGAACACTACTCTATTTGAGTTGGCATCTCAGCAATGTTGACATCATCTGCAAGCCACAACCCACGTGACTCTGATGCCTCCCAGATTACCATGATTGCACTGAAGTACAAAGCCAGAATCCTGCAGATTTTGCCTGTATTATAATTGGAAATATAAGCTATGCCTATAGGTTTGAAAGTAGATGACAGGTTAAAAATGGAATCAAACATATAAAATTTTTTGAATACTTCTTTTAATTGTAGAGCCTGCTGTCATTTTTGGAATCATTTGAAGAAGAAAAAAGACCCTTTTTGGAAAGTTTGCCAATAAAAAAGAACCCAAATGAACTGAATGAAGATCAGCTACAGTTGAGGAAATCTTGGGAGAGCCTCAACGACCAGGTTACTGTCTTACATTGATTACAGGGGCATCTTTCTAGGGCAGTTTTGTTTTGCTGGATGAGGTCTTTAGAATTTCATGAGTACTTATGTACAAAGCTGGATAGACACTTCATTAAAGAGTGATTTATTCTCCTTTTATATTCTAAATAGATTCATTTGCATAGTTACTGAATTTAAATAGGAATTTATAACAATCTGCTTAGAGTAATGGTAAGCTTATCTGTAGCTTTTATATTTGCAATTAATTGTTTATTTCCTACGGTAAATTATTTTTTTTTCTTCTTTTTTTTTAATTTATTTTATGTGTGTACCGTCAAATTGGATATGACTGGTACAGGAGGCGATTGTTCCTCCTTCAGCAGAGCATCTGGTGGATTTGAACCACACACCTCTGGGATTGCAGTGCAGTTTCCTGCCACTAGGCCACCAGAGCTCGCCCTACAGTAAATTATTGATACTCTGGTTGATTGGCAGTGTTCTTTCTACCACCCAATAATGTCATGTGTCCCTATAAATATATACTCAGGATAAGGGACAAACTCAGTGTAAGACTGTATGTATATACATTTGAATGTAAGTGCAGGTCTACAGTTCTTTTAAATTATTGAGATATCATGTATGTCTCAGTATAGTGTATATCTTGTACATATGTGTAGTTAAACAGAACATGAATTCTGCTTTTATTTGGTATTATGTTCTATAAATAGTAATTTAGACAAAGTGGTTGGTAATGTTAATTACATCATCTTTTTGTTGACTGATAATCTTCCTGGTGGTCTGTCAACTGCTGAGAGGGGATTAAAATCTATGATGATGGCTTCTCTCTCTAATGAATTCTTCCACTAATTCTGTCAGTTTTTCCTTCATGTTTTTCAAAATTTTGTCATTAAATGTATGTGTGTGTGTGTGTGTGTGTATACACACACACATATATGTTTATATTTTCAATGAATTGACATTATTTTCAATTATGAAAATTTCCCTTTTTGTCTCAGGTAAGACTCTTTTTCTAGACTTTACTTATCTGATAATAATGCGGTCATTTGTACATTTATGTTGTTATTATGGTACATTTACCTCCTTCATTTATTTTCAGTTTGAGTCTTTATATTTAAAGCAGGACTCTTTAAGTACAGCGTTTATTTAGATTTTTATTTTTTGGCCACTCTGACTGGAAAAGTAGTCATGACAATGTGAGAAAAATGTAATCTGACTTCTCTCTACTAACTTTATAAAGGGGAACTGTCCCCATCAACAACACCCACACCATAAAACTGATCCTTATAAAGTCAGACATGGTCCCCACACTTCTGCACCTGTTTATGATAATTACCATGTCTGAAATTTGTTGAAAAGGACCACACAGGCTTTCTTGACTCACAATTGGGGGATTTATTAGGGAAACAGATTGGGGAGGGAATACAAAAGTATATCACACAGTTAAAGTCCAGGTTTAGCGAAGAGCAATTCCAAACCAGGTTAACAAAAACCACATAAACCTCAATTAGTTTGATTAGCTTCCCAGTCAACAGCAAGATATGGTTCCTCAGTCAATCCAGGCAACTTCTCAGTCAGCAGCAAGATACCTCTGGTGCAGGAACCTCTGACCCCAAAGAACATGTGCTGCTTTTTCTTCTTCTTTCCTGATATTGATGTTTTCTCTCTCTGGGGCTCTGGCTCTGACTCCATCAGGCTCTGTCAGGCTATTCATTGTCCTAGTCTCCTTTTAGTCTGGTTAGCTCTATTTTTTTTTTAAATTTTAATAATTTTAATGAACATTTACTGAGATTTTAGATTTTCATTCATTCATTGTTGCACTTTTCTCACTGCCCAGCCCTCCCCCCGGCCCCCACCGCCCCAGTTCGCTCTTCTCTTTGAAAAGTAAAAGAAAAATTCTTTCTTTGATATACAATCCCCCTACACCCCTCCCACCACCCCAAGTACACTTCACTGTGCAACCTTAATTGTGGACTCTTGTGATAACCATAATACCCTATCATACATCGCTTTTATTCTTTCCCTCATCTGTTTCAATGCAGTATATGCAATTTATCCAGTTTTTCTCAGTCTTACCCCCTGATATCAGTCCCATTTTATAGCAGTGGCACCATGCAGTATTTGTCCTTTTGTGACTGAGATATTTCACTAAGCATAATGTCCTCCAGGGGCACCCATTTTGAATAATATTGCATGAGTTTCTTGCTTTTCAATGCAGCACAGTATTCCATTGTGTGAATATACCACAGCTTCTCTATCGATTCGTTTTTTTGATGGGCACCTGGATTGTTTCCAACTCCTTGCTATTGTGAACAAAGCCGCGATAAACATGGGTGTGCATATATCTGCTTGGATGTCAGTTATGGTCTCTTCAGGGTATATTCCCAGTAGTGGAATTGCTGGGTCAAATGGTATCTCTGTTTGCAACTTTTTGAGAAAGTGCCATACCACCTTCCACAGTGGTTGCACCATTTTAGACTCCCACCAACAGTGAATAAGGGTTCCAGTTTCTCCACACCCTCGCCAGCATTTGTTGCTTGTTGTTCTGTTAAATTTTGCTATTCTGACTGGGGTGAGATGATATCTCATAGTTGTTTTGATTTGCCTCTCTCTTAGAGCTGGGGATTTTGAACATTTCTTCATGTGCTTGTTGGCCATCTGAATGTCTTCTTTGGTGAAGTTCCTGTTCATATCCTGTGCCCATTTTTCAATTGGATTATTTACCTTTATCTTGTGGTGCTGGTTAGCTCTTTTATATCAGCCTCACAGATGATGATGTTGAAGACGCTGACCAGCACTTCGTTGCAGTTGAGGCAGCCAGAGACCATACCTCTGGGCACAACCGAGTTGTAGATGGAGCCTCAAAGATTCATTTTATCTACACATTCCCATCTGGCTGTGTGCTCAGGTCTAAGTTAATGGATAGAAAAGTCATTTTAAAAAATACTAATCCTATGGGAAAGTCTGCTGTTAGGGACCTCTCCAAAGGACTGAAGAGCAATGGTGTCTTTCTGGAGACTAAGGTGCATCTGATACAGGCTGTGGTCTTTGCACTCACTTATGCGTCAGAGAGTTGGACAATGACTAAGGAGGATAGAAGGAGAATTGATGCCTTTGAGCTGTGGTGCTGGAGTATTGAGGGTACCATGGACTGCTAGGAAAACAAACAGATTCATCCTAGAAAGGGTTAAACCGGGTGGCTCCTTGGAGGCAAGGATTCTGAGGCTTCATCTAACATACTTTGGTCATGTTGTGAGGAGAGACCGGTCCTTGGAGAGGGACATCAAGCTTGGGAGGGTGGAGGGACAGAGCAGGAGGGGAAGGCCTTTTATGAGGTGGATTGATTCAGTGACTGGGGTAATCGGGATGGGAGCGTCAGAGACAGTGCGATTGGCACAGGACAGAGCAGAGTTTAGGACTATTGAACGTTGGGTCACTATGAGTCACAAACGACTCAATGGCACATAACAACAACAAAAACAATCCTATTCAACAAAAAAAGGTGATCTGACAGAGTGTGGAAATTATCGAACAATATCACTAATATAAAATCAAACAAATATGGGAACAAATATGGATCCCCTCAAGACAATTGGCCAGAAAGTTGTCATCCGGATTTCTTGGCACAAGTTGGTGAGCACATCCAATATTTCCACTTTCCAACTTACTTCCTTATTTAACCCCATTCTTGGTACCACAACTGTGAGTAAAGTCTGTGAGTCAACAACGAATAAATGAACCTTTTTCTGCTTGTGTGGCTTTAGAGGTACCGTGGTGCTGGGCTGTGTGATCTTTCTCTGCTTCCTGCTCTGGGTTGATGAGAGGCTGTGTTATTCTCACTCTCTCTGGCCCTTTTAGAGAGATGGTCATGGCCCTGTGCCCTCATGTCCCATTTTCTGCTCACTGGAGACTCTTCATAGAGCAAGAAGCAGTTGTCTAAGTAGAATATATATATACACACACAGTCCTATATACAAAATATTAATTAGGAGGAAAATTAAGTGAAATATTCATCCAGATATCATTTTCAGTGTTCATTTCTTTAAAGATTTGAATTTCCATTTTAATTCATTGCCTTTCAGTTAGAAGAACTTCCTTGAACTTAACAGTGCAGATTTATTCATGGGTGTCAGATTATCTTAATTTTCTTATATCTCTGTCTTTATCCTACCTTTATTCTCTAAAAAAAAATTATTGATGTAAAAAATATTGATGTATTTTTCACACACTAAAATTTTCATCATTTTAAAAAAATGTTTAATGAAATTATTTTTTTATTATTGGTTTTCATATAATGATTCCTTTACATCGTGTCTCATTCATAAACAAGGAAGTGATTTTTAATAAAATTACAGACACAGTGGTCTACAAAGTAAAAAAAAAATCCCTGCTACCTGGTCCTGTTAAAGAACAAGCTTCCTGACGCAGCAAACTAGACTATTATGAGTAATGTTGTTTTAAAAATACATCTCTTTAACTTTCTTTTAAATGTACGGGTTAATCTAGTGCTTAAAAAATGCCAGACTTCTAGAGACCAAATTTTGAAAAACTTGCACAGCTCTAAAAATCTTGACCATCAAGTGATGGTGCTCACTGCATCGTGAACTCATGTTCTGGTTACAGCTTGGAAACTGAAAGTTGTCTGAGCTATCTGTGATAAATACTCAGCAGAATGGAATAAAAGAATAAGGTAGTATCTGCTATAATTTTTAAAATACCTTGTCTCTATGAGTAACATGTTGAAATCATGTACAGAAAATATTTTAGGATAGAGTACCCTTGAATATACCGGAATGACTGACATTTCCAGAAATTGATTTGGGCTCTAGTCATGTTCTTACATTAGTTGAAGGGTTCCAGGATTTGGATGATGATGGTTATAAAAATAATGAATGAGTAAACTAAAATGGCCTATTTTAAGATAAAAACACATTCTTTTTCTTGTAACTTTTGTTTTCAAAAATACTGAATTTAAAAAAATATATTTCTGTATAAGATTTGTATTCCAGTGTAAGACAATAGAATATGCTTTTCATACATTAATATCTTGGGTCTCAGCATTGCATTGCATTTCCAGCACAAGCTTGCTCAATACCCTTTTAGTTGCATTTGACTTCAGACCTTCATGTAGCTAAATGATAGCAGAACCAAGTTTACTAAATGTTTCTTTCTAATACATTTGTTAGTCTTGCCATTCAGAATGACTTTTTTCTTATACTAGTTTATTTACAAAATTCTAATACACTGTTTTTGGGAACATATTCTTCCAATTTCCCGCCCGCCTCGCTCCAGAGTGACTTTAAACTTACTTGGTGTGAAGGTGTAAGCGACAAAGTTTCTGCTGATGAGCTCTGTCTTCCTTTTTTAGATTAATGTGTGGAAATCAAAGCTGAATCACAGCTTACCCTCACCCCTCTGTCAGATTGAACGCTGGTTACAAGAACTGGAGAATCTCATCGATGAAGATTTACCAGCCTCTGATGATTACTCTGAAGTCAGAACTCAAACTCAGGAAAAATTGACTTTATTCAAGGTAGGAAAAGAAAATAAACATGGGGGTGGGGTGGGAATCTGTTCTTTCTTAGACACTGTTTTTGAAGAAGATTCTGCCCTAGGAAGAAGGAATTTGAGAATGGTTTAGAATAATTTCTCTGTAGAGTTTTGGAACCTGGAAGATACCTTCACATTCTTTATAAATGTTATCCTGACTTATATTGAAAGAATGAGAAGTGAATTCACTAAATTCAAAAGGAACTATCAAGTCTGACCGAAAATGGAAGGAGGAGCTGGTTTAAACATGGAATGAAAGGGTTTTGGGGTTTTTTGTTTGTTTTTGAGGGGGCACCTGGATAGAATGAAAGGTTTTGTCATGTGAGATTTATGATATTTGATTCCACACAACTAAAAACAGAACACAAATATTTCATGGCTACTTTTACCGAAGAAACTGCCACCTGCCTTTCTGTGAACTGTTGTAGTTTAGAAACATTTATCATTAAAATATTCACAAAGTCAGATTTTTGCGAAGAAAAAAGAAGTAATGTACATTTAAGGGGTCAGTAAGTGAGATTAAAAAGTCCTTGACTAGTACAGCAATAAAAAATTTAATTACAAAAAAAAAGAAGTCCTTGGCTATGGTGTTTGGCAATAAATATGGATCATTTCATGCTTAATTTCTTTTCAGAATCTGATGGATAAATCTGACTGTCACTCAAATACTCTCCTGACATTTGAAAATAGAAATGAAAAGCATTTGCCGTTGGTACCACCTAGCAAATTGGAGGAACTAAAGAAACGGTTGGTAACATTATTTAAAAAATATTAATACTGCTCATTTTTTAGTACTTGTAAAAAAAAAAAGAGAATGTAAGGATACATCTAGATTCCACATGTTTAAAAAACTTAAGAGCTTCAATGTAGTTTAAAATGTCACCTGGACATCTCATATTGGGTAGGTGAATTCTAAAATTTCGTACTGTTTTCCAGAATCAGCAACATTTTGAGAAAAAAATGCATTCCACAGCTAGAAATTCATTACTCCATGTGTCCAGTTCTTGGTTTGTTAGATGAAATGAAATCAAAATTGGATGTTTGGACCATTAAATATGGGAGCAAGGAGTCTGTAGAACTACTGCTGGAAGACTGGCATGTAAGAATTGTGTGTGCGTGTGTGTTTGCACTTATCCTTCATATGACTTCCTGTTGCTGCTGCAGGTTTCTAGATGGGTTTTTTGGGTAGCTTTCATTAGCTTAAATATTGCCTGAAGAAAAGAATTACAAGTTGCATCAGTAACTAGTAAGAACAGGAAAACAGCTTTGTGCTACACTAGGAGAGACATAGTCTTAGACTGATTATTACAAATTCCTACTTTCCTGTGTTGTTGTTGATTGCCTTTGAGTTGAGCACAACTCATAGCAACCCTATGAACAAAAGGCTTGAAATGCCCTCTACAACTATGGACATTCATAGGCTTTCCAGAGGCATGCTATTTAGGAAGTGCTTTGAAATTTTTTTCATTTTTTTTTTTCCTGCTCAAATGTCATTTTTAAAAAAATATTGTAATCATACTCTTAAATCATCTCTGAACTTAAGAAAAACATACATGATTTAAATATAAATCTATTCACTTCTAAACTAAATATGAGAATATAATTTCTATAGTTAGACATTATTCTATTTGTTTTCTAAAATGAGGAAGAAAACACAAAGGGTTACAACTTTCAAAAAACCCTATAGTCATAGCAAGCAGAAATTTATTTATAATTTATTTTAAATTTTATTTAAAATGATACTGTGTATCACTGAAAAGAAAATGTGATTCTGAGCTAGACTAGATTTTGAATATTTTTTCTCTTTTGCCTTCTTTGATTTTTAAAATTTTTTTATTTAAATATTTACTATTACTGGTATACAATAAATGTACAATAAATATGAGCATTTAACTCCTCAGCAGTTCTTTTCATAGTAGAATTTGGCTGCAGAAGGAAGATACGCTATAATTTGGTTAGTGCTGGTTTCTCAAATATTTTTGTGTGATTAGTGATATATGTTTACTATTTACTCTAATTCCCCTTTCTCATTATCCTTAAGTGAGAACTGACTTATAGCTGACCCTTCAGTGGGTTTCTGAGGCTGCATATTGTGTGGGAGGTGATTCCCCATCTCTCTCCCAAGTATCATAGATGAGTTGAGTAAAAATTACTGAAAATTAAACTAAGACAAAAATTATTAAAAATTGATAAAATATGAAGATCAACTGATAAAAATTATGTCTTGTTAATAAACTATGTGAGTACAAGACTTTCAACTTACCATGATAGAAAAAATAATAAATCATTGTAGAACTATATTATCACATCAAATCAATCTCTTTTCAAGTTTTATACATTATCTGTTATTCAGTCAAGCTTGTAAGTCATGTCTTCGAGATTTTGCTTATCCTTCATTAACTGTTCTTCCTCATTTCTCAGTAAACTATGTAGTATTAAAGCTCTAAAGAAATCTTAATACCTAGTGCTTCATAAATGTTTGTATGTTACTATCTGTATTTCTTAGGGAACTCTGGTGGCTTAGTGTAAGGAACTGCACTGCCATCCCAAAGGCACGGGTTCAGATCCACCAGCAGCTTTGCGGGAGAAAACGGGTAATCTCTTCTCATGTCATGTACTGCCTCTGAAACCCACCGGAAGGTCGGCTATGAGACTGTCTGGCTTGATGGTACATGCCAACATCTCGATTTCTTGGCACATTTTAAAATATAAAAATTCTCAGTGTGCTCTTTTATCCCCTCTCTCTGTAGAGATTTATTGAAGAAAAAGAATTCCTAGCTCAACTTGAAACGTCTTTCCAACAATGTGAAGAAATGAACCAGAATTTGGGTAAAGCAGTAGTTACTTTTTGTTGAAATGACCATCACTTAAAAATGACACTTCATCAAAACAAAGAAAACCAACTATGTACTGACTACCCCCCCCAAAAAAAAGTGACACTTTATCAGCCTTGCTTTGTATATTCCTTAATGATTTAGAAATAAGTTTTAACATGCATTTTTTCCTTAGAAAAACACGTGCTTTTACTTTTAGTACTTGCAATTATAGATTTTTTACCACTGTCAGTTATAATGTAATTTTTTTTCTTATTAGTGTTATTTTATTAGTAATGGTGTTCTAAGATTACTTTCTTGGCTTGTTAATGCTATAGGTGGAGACTGTCAGAATATTAATAAGCCCTATGTGATGGTGGATCATAACATTTGTACATACAGAAAAAATATATATAATGTCAAGTCAGCTTTAGAAAAAGTTCTGGCATCTTGGGCCACTTATGTGGAACACCTCCACTTACTAAAAGCTTGTTTTGAAGAGATGAAGAAGGAACAAATTAAAGAGGTATTTTGTTACCTAACTGATACTTGCTTAATTTTACATTTTTTCTTTCTGTTTTATTTTTCAATCCAAAGATAAGAAATAAAGGAATATACATGTGTGTGTATGAAAATTCTCCAATGTCTCATAGAGAGTTTAATATCCTTCCAATATAATTGCCAATAAGAAGTTTCTCCTTAAAAAATATAAAAAAGTTTCTCCTAAGTATAGTCTCACATATATATCACCACACACACATACATTAAATGTAATATATATTCAAAATTGCTTTTGGAAGATTTTACTATGTCCTTTGGAGTGAAAATAAAAGATACAATAGACTGGGTAGTTTATTAATAATTTTTTAAAATTAAAACTAATATTTTTAAAGTTTTGTTTTTTCTTGTTGAAGACTTTCAGCTCTATAAGCTTCCTGAATTTGTACAGAAGGAAAAATATCTTTCTGTTTTCATGAAGATGTGCAGGAAAAACATTTTTGTAATTTGTTAATGTTTGTATCTATTAGCTGTCTTAAGGTTATTCTCTCAAGTAATTTTTTAAAAAATGTTTTGCCCCATTACAAATGGATATAGCTAGCTTTTTAGAATAAACATTTCCCAAATATAAATGAAAATTATTCAGTGAGAAATAGGCTACTTGGAAGAAGTAAAATTAATCGTAAATGTATGATTGCAGAAAAAAAGGAAAGACTACTTGACTCAAGTAATAATATTTATCTTTAAAAGTTACTTTAGGCCTAGCCTAGTGAGTCATAGTTTCCTTCCTTTGTCCTATTTAGATATTAGAAAGTCAAACTTTTGTTTTTAAATGACTGTTTTGCTTTAAAAAGATATTCTGTATTAAATTTGCATAACTTAAAGGAAAATAACACTTTACGCCTATAATTCCCACTCAGTGTTCTGATACCCTGGACTTGCAGGGACAACTTGAAGTATATTTTAAGTTTTGAAGGACACAATTATCTGTTGGCCTCCTTGCAAGCAACTACTCTTTTGGGTCTAACTTCTTCATAAAGAAACTATTAGAATTCTTTACCCTCCAGGGACTCTGTGAAAAAATTAGTATGCCATTAAAGGCACCATGAGTTGAGAAAGTTTGGAAACATCTGTTCTAAGCTTATCACCCACTTTAAAAGCTAGAAAAGCTGATGGTTTCTAAAAGCTTGGGATTATAAGAGATGACAGGTGTCTGGTTCATGCCATTGGACAATGAGACATGATCTAGATTGACAGAATTCAGAAGTAATCTGAGAAGTTCAAGTCTCTGCAAAAAGCCCTGTCTCCATATACTTAAAATAAGCTATTTCATGTTTTTAACCAAAAACATTATTTGAGATATGTATGGATAGGGTTCAGAAAGAGGTGTTATTTGGTGCCTTTTTTGTATAAAATGAACAACTAGAAATGATTAGTTTACTTTCTAATATGCTTAAAATAAGCAGGTGTTTTTGATCAAAAGGCCCTTATCATCTCTGTTGCTCACAGTTAACCTTGAAAGAGATGAACTGTGAGTAGCAGTCAGGCCACTGTCATGTCACTAACATACTGTGGGGTTTATGTGCTGTGTAGATTCCCTTTGAGACACTCTCTAAATGGAATGTGGAACATACTACATTAAATGAAGTAGCACACTTCTTAATTGACGTCAGCAATGAGGAAATTGCATCGTCTATCTCTAAAGAACTGAGAAGACTGAATAAAAGATGGAGAAAGTTTTTTGCAAAAACTCAGCTCGTAAGTTCATTTTTTGTGGTAGCAGCCTTACTGAGCTATAATTTGTACATCATGCAATTTATTTATTTAAAGTATAATTCAGTGGCTTCTAGTATGTTAAGAGAACCATCACCAATCAGTTTCAGAACTTGTTCACCTGAAAGAAATGTACCTGTTAGCAGCTACTCCTCATTTCCCCTGACACTCCCTGACCATAGGCAACCACATACCCACTTTCTGTAGATGTGTCTACTCTGGACATTTCACTGCTCCGTAAATGGAGTATTAAAACATGGTTATGTATGACTGGCTTATTTCACTTAAATAATGTTTTTAAGCTTCATCCGTGCTGTAGCATCAGCATTTTATTTTTAATTCTGAATTCACTGTTTAATTTTTTTTTATTACCAACTAATAACTCCATTGTATGAATATACTACCTCCATTTATGCATCCATCAGGTGGACATTTGAGTTATTTCCACCTATTGGCTATTATGGCTAATGTTGTTAGGACATTTGTGTACCATTTTCTATGTAGACATATGTTTTCAGTTTTGTTGAATATATTGTTAGGAGAGTTTGTAAGCCCTTAATCTCTTTGTAAAATATAGTATTCTAGTTAAAATTTACTTCCTATTAAAAAAACAGTTATTTTGTATGCCAGATTTCAAGCTCTGTGAAAACATTGAATGTTATTTATCTTTACATTAAGCACATGATCACAAAAAACGGGACTTTTCTAAATATTTTTCACATTTAAGGGTTATTTTTTGTTATAAATTAGAAGCATGAGAAATCTATGGAAAATTTTATATTTTATAATATTCTTACTTAAAAGTATTATTTGAATTAAAAGTATATTTTAAGTATATTAAAAGTATATTTGAATGTGTCACCTTATTTTCTAGAAAATAAATTAGCACAATCTAAGCATTAAATTTCTAATTAATTTTTCTTAGGAAATGAACATGCCACTTATAAAGAAACAGAGTCAACCCATTCATGAAAGTTCTAGAAATCTTCAAGTATCAAAACAGGAAAAATTAAGTACTGAGTTTTCAGCAGACCTGACAATAAAACTTCCTGGAAATCCCAACCCGTACTTAAAGGTAAAAGCATTCTGTTTTTATGCATTTAATAATTTAACTTTATTGTTTTCTTCTTCAACCATATTGTTGAAAATATTGGTCAGTGTGTAGGTTACTGATAACATTAAAAGTGTTATCTTTTTAGGAAAATGCCCACTGATTGCCTTCTTAACATCTGTCTGGCAATGAGAGATTCTGTTGCTCAGTGTGCAATGTGAACACTTGAGTTTATATTTTCTTCACATTGTTTCTGGTTAAACAGCTGTCTAGTAGATTCTGATTGACGGTAACCTTATGGCACAGTGTCTAACTGTCCCATAGATTTCCAAGGTTGTGAATCTTTACAGTAGCAGACCCCTATATCTTTCTCATTGGCAGTTGGTCGGTTTGAACCATTGAACTTTCTGCCAACAGCCAAGCACTTTAGCCAAGCACCACCAAAGCTCCTTATTTGTGCATCAGTCATGCTCAGAAATCATCTAGGCTGAGGCAAGCCCTTGGCTCCTCTGTGTCTTGCTTACTTCTCTATAATAGTTAAGAATATAATCTCTTTTTCTTATCCTTTTGGGTAATTTGGAAGATGATGTTAGATTATAGGTAAGACCATGCAAAAGAAACAGAAATAAACTATACTTATGTATCATTTAAATGTTTTCATTTTTTATAATTTTTATTGTGATTTTAACGAAAGTTTATAAAAATCTTGGATTTCCATTCATTCGTTGTTGCACATTTTCCTTCCTACATCCCCCCAGTTTGCTTTTCTTTTTTAAAAAGTCATTAATTTTTGCACAATTTCCTCCCTCCCTCCCACCCCAGTCCACTTTGCTATGCACCTCTTATTCTGGTTTGTTATACAAATAATGCCTAATCATATATTCCTTTTAAGTAGTTCTTCCCCTCATCTGTTCAATGTAATGCTCATTGTTTACCCTCTCTTTTCTTAGTTACCCTCCAATCCACAATGTTAGTCCTGTTTTATAACAGTAGCACTATGCAGTATTTGTCCTTTTGTGACTGAGATATTTC